TGACATGTTAAATAGTTGATACAATAGGCATGGAAACTTTGTAATACCTTGTAAACTGTCCCAAAACCTCCTCGCCCTATTTTGTTCCTTCGATGAAAATTTTCCGTTGCTATACTTAATTCATTATATGAGAATTCTTTCATCTTTGGCATTGAGTCCCCTGGACAATGAAGATCAAAATGAAAAATAATAAAGCCAAGAAATAAAATCTTGAAAAACTAAGAAGAGCCATATTCAAAATTTGAGATGACAGTAAAGGAATCATAATGACCCCTCAACTATAACTTAAGAAGAAACCCTTTAAATTGCACGAATACAAACTTAAATCACTACCACCAAGTCCAACAGTCTAAACACGGCGGCCTATTTACTTTACCCTGGGAGGTTTATGTGGATGTGTACTCAGAAACTCAAAGATAAACAAGTTTAGGTTTAGATTACATGCTTCGATGGGCATATCTCATACACCTAATGCATCTCTAACTTAAAAGGATGTTTAATGGATATAATAAGATGACAGAGAATGTAGAATGAGGTTAATTCATTATAGAGTTGTTTTAGTGGTCCTGATTCGGCAGACAGAAATAAAATTTGTGGGTGATGACATATACCTCGTTATGTTGATATATTTAATTTGCAAAGGAAGAGAGGGTAAAAAAGCAATTGTCAATTACGGTGTTGTCCATTGTTTAATGTAGACCAGTTATAACAGCAGCAGGAGACAAAAGAAACTTGCACCAATCCATACTCAATGTGTCAAAGTTGTCTCTTTAAAACAAATTCGCTCCTTCTAGTGGTGCCATAAGCAAATGTCTCCTCAGGATGCACCATATTTTTTGTTCCCATGAATGTTAGCTTCAGCGTTACTAATGACTAAATTGATTTTCTTGTAACCCATATTATAACTAGCATTTCCTGCTGAAGAATATACCAATTTAAAATGGGATAACATGCTCTATATGACACGAGTTCCAGTATCACAAGTTTTCCGCATTTCGTCATAGGAATGCCAACAAATTTGATCAATTACTCTTCTTGCTTTGTCCAGATAGTCATTTTACCATAATNTTTAATTTCTTCTTCAGAAACCAGTATCATAGATGAAGCAACGAACTCAACTTTGTTTTTCTATCGAACTTAAATCAGAATAGGAAGGAAAATGTGCACGAATTGATGGAGAAGAGAATAAATGAAAGTTTGTAAAGAATGAAATCTTGAAGACCTAGTCTATACTTGTTTGAGGCCGTTCGGACAGTAGCGATAACTTTTGAAGAAGGTTGCATTTGAATGAAAAGTTGAAACTGTTCAAAAAGGCCAGCGACTACTCTAAGAAAATAACTCTTTGGAAAGAACACGCCAAATGGCCAATCTGAAAAAAGTACTTTTCCAGGAGGACACCTCTTGGATTATTCTGAACAGATATACCTTTCTGGAAAGGATAAATCACCTGTGAGTGGGCCAGCTTGGGAATTAGAAATGTTAAATTTGTTAGTTTGACACACCACCTGGGCTTGAGCCGGAAGTTGGTTAAGAAATGGTTAAATGGGACAGCTACCCGCCCAGTGTCCAAATAAAAACCACATAAAATTTGTGAGTTTTCCAATTCAAGCCTAAGCCCAATCCCAAGCTGGGCTGAGGCAGCAACGTGTTGGCTGAACCCGCCACAATGGAGGTCGTATCCTTCCCACAAAGTTGGGTGCCCAATGTGTCACAAACCCATTTCTAAAATGAATGTACAAACTCTAGAAGTTTTTCCTTTGAATTCCATGTAGATAATATTCTTCCCTTCGTTTCTTCTCCTTGTTTGAGTGCGTAAGTTGAAGAGAATTTCCTCGTTCATATATCTTGTTTCCAACAGGTACTAAAATTTTGATCGCTGATGAGATGAACCAATAGCATATACTTTATATATTAAAAAATCAAATCCTTATAGTACTTAGGTAGTGCCTATAATCAAGATATATGCTTTAGCTACAATATTATAATCAAGATATATGCTTTAGCTACAATCTAAGCTTGTTTGGCACATATTTTTCCAAGGGAAATTTTTTTTTTTTTGGAGAATGTGTTGTAAAGAAGCGGGGAAGGTTGTGAGTCCCGTAGAATGTGAGGTTGAAAATGATTTTGGGGAAAAATCTTTCACAAACAAGCCTGAAAAGTTAATGATCAAAGAATTTTTTGAGGCAATCTTAATGATCCAGAAACACTCATCAATGATATAATTTGCTAACCTGTTAATGTTATTGTGTTCTCTACAACATGACTAGAAATTTTATTTGGTTTTCCATGTTTTACATTGAATGAAATTAGAGGTGGAAATCTGATAATTATAAACAATTATAAATAAAGCAGAAATTTGCCTACATCTATTGACAGCATTTAGCATGAGATAGGATGCCCAAACAACAATAAGAAACAAAATGCTTATCCAGCATGATTCCAAACAATAGCACAAAGGGATATTTAAATCACTTATTTCAACATGACATTTGGCTCAGCATTATAACAGCATTTTAACTGCTTGAATGATATGTCCCAAACAAAACAAGGAAGCACCTAGAAAATCAGTAAAAAAATTTAAACATGATCAATCAGAGTTTTCCAGTCAATATGAAACAATATTGTTCGTCTTGTTGTACTCGTTCTACCATATTCCTTTGTCCTGGCTAAGCTCTTTCTATTGATTGGCTATGAAAGGGGCGTTTTATAAGGCTCATTTCGAGGCAAGCACAACTGCACAATCACTAAAACTGAACTAACAACCCATTTTGAGACCTCCTTCTAATAGCCCCACGGAAGGGTCATTAGGGGAAGATTATTGGGTAGGGAAGTCACTCAATGTCTCTACTATGCTCACTCCCCCATTACATAAATAATTTCAGCGGGTTACCAATCTCTTATACTACCATCACTTATAAATCTGATCATATTAGAGTCAGCCCAGTACTAAAGTGTAATTTCCTATGCAAACTGCAATGAATCAGTTACCTTCTTGGCCCTCTGTAGACTGACGAGACTTCTTCAGGCCAGCGAATGCCCCAAAGCAGCTGCAACCCATGTCCTTGTGCGGTATACGACAATAATCTCCTATATGTAATACAACCACCCGTCAATCAGGACAAAAAACTGGTTTAGACATTTCAATTAGCCATCCTCTGCTTTATATGTTCAAGTTTCTTTACCAATCAGATTTTATACCCCTCCACACCTTTTCAACAACAATTACAATAAGAAAAAAGGTAAGAACTTTCATGCCTTCCTTTGGTAAAGAAAAAACTACAGATTTTTCATACTTGGAGGGTAACAATAGAATTTCTCTTATAAATTATAAATTTAATTATGTATTCCTTATTAGTTTATTTTATGGAACAATTTCTGTAATTCCGCATCCGTGTACATTTCTGATGGACCAGTAGTCAAGCAAAAGCAAATTCATCCAGTAAAAAAAAAAAAATGATCCAATTTTTTGAAATTTTAGAAACTAAAGACAATAAAAGAATTATACTAGTAAATTTGCTAAATTTGAAATCGTAGATCAAATACATACAGTGAGCTTCTGCGCATACAAACCAGATTCCAGCTCTTAAGAAATCAAACTCAGGTGCAATGAAATCCACTTGCCTTAAATTGAACTGAATTCTTGCAACTGTCGAGTTCCTGAAAATACCAGTATATAAAACTATTTCAAAACGCCACATCACACAAAAAATTGTTAACAGCAATTAATCTTCACATAAACTGACACGAATTCCAGCGAGCTAAATCAACCGAGATTCAGTAATTAAACAATTCAACTTATATCACCAATAATACTTTCTTAAAAAATTAAATACATATCAACAGTTGATACTTACAAATTCCCATGTAAATGTAATCAATCAGGTTGCTTGATTGACGAAAAATAGAATGAATGCCGAAAGCGTGGAAATATATAGCAGATGGCTGGAGGGTGTTAAAAGAGGCGGAATTTTCCGACTGTAGAGTCGTCGTTTGGCGGCTGTAGTGGTAATGGCAGAGGTGAAGAATGAGACAGAATCAGAAGTCATTGGTATACATGTCAACAGCTCATGTGTTCTGTGTTCCCTTTTCACACTAAGATATGTATATCAATGTATGTAATTATTTCTTTGACCATTAAGGTTTCAGTCTATAATTATTTATAGGGAAAAATATTTCATATGCTATACGCTACATATACCCCCGTTGAATTTTTATTTTATATTATTTTTAAAATTTAGATAATTCATTTTATTGTTCCCATTCATTAAAGTGAGACAATAAATAGTTATTAAACTTTTAATTAATTTATTTATTTTTAAAAGTTAAACTATTCGAATATATTAGGTAAACTAAGATTTTTATAGTTTATCATATTCTTTAGATAATTTTAGTCGCAATCCTTTATAAAAATTAATGAAATTTCATGAAATTTTTCATTTAAATTATTGAATTCTTAAAAAAAAAATAAAAAATGGGGGTGGCGTGGGCCCTTGTTACCTATACATGCTTCGTACCCGTTCAGGATAGTGCTTTGCAGGTATCGAGTTTGACGAATTTATTTGTCAATCCTAATGGGACTCCACCAAAAGAAGATTCCTAGGACTCGTAGAGATTAAAAATAAATGTTATTTACTTACAAAAATGTTTATTTATTTATTTAATTGATATTTTCTTTTGAAAACAAAATACTATATGTAAAGATTTGGAAATTTTAAAGTGTTTCACCATTATTATTGTTATTATTATTTTCTGAGTTATCAAATATTTCTAAATTAAAATTTTATTTGTGTTAAGAAAATGTTGAGACAACAACAAAATCAAATTACGATCATCGGGGATTTGTTGTTGGTTGTACAAAGTTTGGACAGACAACAAGCACAAGCTGGTCCCTTATAATGCAAACACTAACAACACCAACTCAATTGTAGAATAGTTCCATTGCTACAAACCCCCAACTTTCGATGACAAGGCAGACTCACTGGCAGTTTAAGAATGGATAAGAGGATTTGAGCAAATCTTGAAACATCTTTCTTGTAGTGATGCTCAGAAAAAGTATTATGTGCAGAATTCATGTTAGTTTTTATTTGCAAGCCACTAGTGGGAGTTAGCATCGTTTACTAGAACATAAGCACAACAATGTGCTCTGACTTTGATACAACTCAAGGAAGAAGTGAAGGGAAAATACTTCCTACAAGCTTTGTTAGATCGAAAAGAGACATAATTTCTTCAACTCTTGAGAATTATAAGAGAAAGTTCAAACAACTCTTTAGGTACGTACCACACCTGGTGGATATGGATGCAAAGAAAGCGAGGAGATTTGAACTAAGATTGGTGGAATAATGGCATCCTACCAATTCACCACATATAGTCCGGTATTGCAAACTACTCAGGCAATCTCAAATAGGTTAGAGATTGGCCAAACTTCTTAGCAAGGGATCGAGCCTTTAGGATAGCGGAAATGGAACGGGTCCAATGAAGGAAAAGGACAAAACAAAAAAATTAACTTCGGATTAAGTTTTGGACTAATCGTTTCACCCTATCCAAAGTGCAATAGGATGCATTGGTGTGGATGTCTGTTTGGGAGACATGTGTGATATCGATGGACAAAGCCGGTCATGCTTCCAAAAATTGCAAAGAAGATCCCTCAAAGAAGAATGATGAACAAGAAAAAGAAAGAAAATGCTGATCTTTTGCTTTAGCCTAGGAATTGGCAACAAAAGACCCAAACGTAGGTAATTTCGAGAACGAAATTCTTTTAAGGATGAAAGATTGTAACATCCAAAAATTTTAAAATGAGATTTATTTGTTTTTTATGTTATATTGTTATAATTTGAAAATTTGGAAACTAAAATGAAATAGGTTTTAAATTCCTATTTTATTGGGCCAAATAATTGGATCTTAACAGAGCGTGTTTTAGTATATTGATATTGGACTAGTTGGGTAAATCATGTCAAAAAATGAGTTATGAAATTGAGAAAAAGTTAATTCGGATAAGCTATGTCCAAGATATTGAAGTCCAAATAAGTTGCATTTATTTAAAATTAATTTATGATTTTAGCCATGATTTTTGTGTAGTAAGGCTGTAGTTATATTCAGGAATAATATTTTTTTAATATACATTAGTTATTTAAATAATATCCGAGTTGTGAAATAATAAACTTAACATATGATTTTATGATCTGTGATATTTAAAAATCTACAAGTATGTAATTTCACTAATTTATACTACTGTTACTAGTCCGGGTTACATGGGCCAGCCAAAGACTGATCGTCAATTTCGGGAGACCAAGGAATGTAAAGATGTGTTTGTCGGCTATTATTTGCCACGTTGCAGCCCATCAAAGTCTTGTCTTTTTATTAGGCTGCACCCTGCCAAAATGTCTAGGTCGTCTCCTAAAATTCGAATGATAAGCCTTTTAGGTACAACGAGTTAATCACTTAATCATTAGAATTTATAGGGCTATCATTTTTGGAAATTGTACAGAGTAATTTCCCACAGGGTAGTTGTAGAACTTGGTCCCACATTGGAAAAAAAAAAAAAAAAAATGCTGAAGTCCACCACTGTGAAGGATCTGACAAGGGTCTGTAAAATAGAACCCTGTAAGTGAAGCAACATTCATCATTTTTTATCTTGAGGTTGGTGTCAACAAGTTTTACATAACCAAAAAATCAACAATACTTAGGCCTGTTCGACAATGATTATGAAAATTGATTTTTGATCGTTAGAGAGAAAAGTTGGTTCTATATGTGAGTGAAAAAATAAAAAATGACGGCTCGAATAGTGAGTGCTGGTTTGTGCCCAATTATTTGTGAATAATGTATTATGAAATAGTGATTGATATTGAAATGTGTGGTTAAAAAAGAATTTTTTTTTAATTTAAGTGTAATATTATTTTAATGAAGAATGTGTGGTTGAAAGTGAGTACTGCAGAAAAATAATGTAATATAATATAGAAAAATGGTAGACAAACAAAACTTGAAATAACGGTCAAAAAATTAATTTTTTAGTTGAAAAATTGCTAATAAACTGGGGCTTAAGATTGTGCTATAATAAGATAAAGAAGATGGTCATTATCTAAAAACTCTTCTTCTTTTTCCTTTTTTTTTTAATTAAAATTTGATTTTTAATGTAAATCAAAATCAACAATTAGTTTTAAATTCATTCACCACCTGGTACCTTAAGAAGGCACTTTTTTTTCGCTTGAGCTGTAGTTAGAGAAGGAGATAGAGTTGGTGAAGGAATGAGCCTGACTCCATTCCATATGATGTAATGATTGACTTGGGGAGCTCCTCTGAACGCTTGACCAATTACTCTACCCTGCTTCTTCCCCTCATCCTCATCCTCATCCTCATCCTCCTTTGTCACAAGCGATAGTCAAAAGTCCTAGAGGAAGTTTCTTATCCAGTAATAGGAGATGTTCAAAACTTTTTAACTATACATTTCATCAATTCTTTTATTAAAATTTGCTATAAATTTAATTTTAAATCTCACCAAAGAGTAGCTAAATTTATTTTCAACTACACATTTTCACAATAAAATATTTTACACCCAAGTTCAAAATTTTTTCCCACTTTTTAATCACACATTCTCCAAAACTTCACTATTGCAAAACTCATTTTCAAGTAAAAACGGGGCTCAAATATAGGCTAAATAAATCAAAATTGTAAATATATAGTGGCATCTCCAATGATACTCAAGAAATTTCGAAATGTTACTCCCTATAGACCTACTTTGATATTTTCTCAATATGTCACTCCTTTACTTGGCACTCTATTACGCATCCACCTTTCTATCTTTGTTTCTTATCACCTTACAAGAAAATGACTATCGCTTTTACGAAGAATCTCCTTTTTTTCTTTTTCTTTTTCTATAAATTAGTAGGTTAGGAAAATTACAACCAAGATCACCAAAAATTTCTATCCTGCTCGTTGCCCTCCCCCACATTGCTTGTCCCTCGCCATGATCCCAATAAGCAAGGGCAGACCCAGCAAATTTTTTCAGTGCGGGCAAAAATTTCTCAATTCCAATGAGGAAGATGGTGAATTTCTTCCTGCACGTATTGACTGGGCACTGATTGCATTTGTTAATGAGAAGCTCTGCTTCTGCCTTGAAACTCATTCTTTCATTTATCCTTGTTCACAATTATTTTCTTACAGTACAACACCTTTACAAGGCAAATGGATGAAAACCATCCCCCTAGGAACCAATTTTTACAAAATCGAAAGCTGGGACACACATGCCATATTACGTATATGATGGAGACTTCTGTTGTAATTTTAAAAGAGTACATTAGGTCACACCTGCACTAAGCCGACATTGGGTCCGCCCCCGACAATAAGAGTACAATAATGGTTTTAGTTACAAATTTATAAACGATTAAACAAATGATATTGCCAATTTACTTTAGCATAAATTAATTAAAAGAAAGACCATAAAAATCCTTTCTTCCCCTCTTGACTGAGACCATGGATGTTTGCATAAATTAATTGAAAAAAAA